TCATTTGAGCAAGATGCTCCGCTTCGACCGTGGTCTGAAGCACTGGGGGATTACCGAAGGGGGTGCTAGGGTGCAGCGCGGGGCTTGCTCCACTTGGCATACCGTACGGTAATCCATCTTCTGATAGGAACTGTGGTCCTGAAGTGGTTCCCATTACGCTTTTTAGGAATTGTAGGTTGATTATTATCGTTTCCCACAGACGGCGCCAAACTATTGACGTAGAAAAATGGTTCGGCACTTTCCTGCGTAACCTAATTGATTTCGTTACCTTCGGTATGCTATGGCCTCGGTAGGATGTTATACCTGTAAGATAGCAAACGCTCGGTAAGTCCTAGGTACCGGTGTGATACCGGCCGAAGGCTTTCCGATGCCTAAGTAAGTACGGATTTAGTAAGTTTGAACTACAGATCAATAGGCAGTATGCCGTTAGTTCTGATTGATTACCTTCAAGCTGGGATAGTTGTCCTCTTTTATAGGCCTTGGGAGGTGTGCATTTCGTTTAGAGTTTCGATGTGGGACTGTGGACATATTGCATTCACTGCTATAATTGGTAAAACCGTGTTTTCTTCTTTCGGAAAGGTGGGTTTTTGACTAGCAAGATTTTCTGGGTCGCATTCGGTTTATTCTTTTTGAGCGAGCGTCTGAATTCATTGAATGTTGCAGCTGTTAGACTTTAGACCTTGACCTGTGTTTGGTTGCCCAGAAAACTGAATAGTATAAAAGGGAAACATTGAATTTTTTGGTAATTTGTACGAGAAATGGGACAGTTTTATTGACTCAGCCAAAAGAAATGCGCTTTGCTGATGCCATTTCCTGTTTCAGTTTCCAAGCAAAAACTTATAGTCATAGCAATATTTTTCTCTTCTTTTCATCCCATTTCTCAATCAAACTTGCTTGATTTCCATAAAGCCAAAGCTTTTTCTGCATATGTGTTATGAAAATTTCCCTTTTCTGTAAGTGTCAACAGCATTTATTTGTTTCATTGAACTTGCATATGCTTTTTAATTGTATTATTAGGTTTGTACTATTTTCATCGGTTAATTCTCTTCTTATAAACTTCTCAGGAACAGGCAGGAATTACCCAACATATTGTCTGTTTCCACTTCCACTGGTTGGGCCCGAGACACTTGGTGCAATTGGCAAAAGATCTTTGAATGAGAAAATGGCTGTGGCTTTTACCCAGCTTTCATGGTGGTTGTGGAGTGGAAAACAGAAAGAGCCTAGAATCTCCAATTCATCTTCTTTAAGTTCTTCACCCGACCCCGGCATGTGGGAATCTGATGGTTTAAAGTTTCCTTCGGTTAAGGGGGCCAGTATGGCCTCATCATCATCAAGAAGGGTGAAACGCAAATGGCATAGTCGGGAAGAACGGAAAATTGATAGGGAATATGATCTTGTTCTAGTTCCATCTGAGGGAGGATGTTTTTCTGGTTCTGAGTCTGATGACTCGGATTGGTCAGTTGGATGGTTGGAGCCTCATGGACCTGGGTTTCGGAGTGATGATGATACAGACGATAGTTTTGCTGTGCTGGTTCCATGCTACGACGTCGTTTCAGGTAATGCAATTATTTTTAAATGACTTAGCCAAAACGACGTCGTTTTGCGCTAGGACTTACTATAAAAAAAAAAAGAAAAAAAAAAAGGGGGCTGCAGCTTCTTAACTGCAGAGACGCGATAACAGCCCTAACCCCAATCTCCCAAGACCTCCACCAGCACCATCTCCTCCCTTGCCGCCGCTGCCAAGGGTGCTAGCTGCCGTTCACCACCAGCCGTCCCCGTCGCCGCCACTGGGTAGTTTCACACTATGCAATTCCTGCATCCGCCACTGTGAGCCGCCCAACTATGGAATCCTTAGCCGTCTTCAACTACTCACTCTCACTCTGCTCTCCCTCAGACGACCACTTCATCCCAAAGCACCCTCGACCCTCCCCTACGACGTCGTTCCCCGCCCCCAGAACCGCCATGCCCAAGCTCGAGGTCCGCTGCGCCGCCCAAGCCCAATCCGCAGAGCCCAAGCCCAAGGAGTCCAAGCTCTGGGGCGGCCGCTTCGAAGAGAGCATCACCGACGCCGTCGAGCGCTTCACCGAGTCCATCTCGTACGACAAAGCTCTCTACAAGCAGGACATTTTGGGCAGCAAGGCCCACGCTTCCATGCTAGCCAAACAGGTAAACGATATATATATATATATATTTTTTTTTTGTGGGTTTATTTTTCATGAATTGAGTTTTTGGGGTGAAATATTTGTTCTTTGTTCTGTTTTAGGGATTGATTACTATTCCCGACCGGGATAGCATCCACCAAGGGCTGAGCGAGATCGAGAGGCGAATCGAGAACGGCGAGTTCGAGTGGAGGACGGACAGAGAAGATGTGCACATGAACATCGAAGCGGCGCTGACCGATTTGATCGGCGAACCGGCGAAGAAGCTCCACACGGCTCGGAGCCGAAACGACCAGGTCTTGACCGATTTTCGGTTGTGGTGCCGAGACGCGATCGATGCCATCGGCGCGAAGATTAAGCATCTTCAGGTTTCGCTTGTCAAATTGGCGATGGAGAACGAGGGTGTGATTGTTCCTGGGTACACGCATTTGCAGAGGGCTCAACCTGTTCTGCTTCAGCATTTGCTCTTGGCGTTTGTTGAGCAGGTTTGTGTGTGGAAAATATATGATTGTTTGAAATGTTGTTGCTTTATATATATAGATAATTTTTTTTTCCTTTTCTAGATGAGACATTAGTGGGGGCAACTTTGGATTTCAAACTTCGAAGAGAAAAGCTTAAAGAGCAACTTTTTGGATTCAAGTACCCAAAATAAACTCTTACTTCCAATAATTATGTGTTGTTTTTACTGTTTCTTAACCCAGATTTTAAAAAACAGAAACTGCTATAAATTCGTTTGTATATTAAAAGGCTTTAATTTGTTTTTAGGGAAAAATTATATTGCAACTGAGTGTGTTTGCTTAACATATGCATATATAATTTGTGGGCCTTGTGTTTTTAGTAGCTTGGTAGTTGTTCTGTATATGAATTTGTGGATTAGGTTATATTTACATGTAAAAATTGGTATGTTGGTGCTTATGAAGTAGTTGTGTTGGCCTTATTATATGCTTGGCCTTTAGAAGAGATAAATTGTGGCATTTTTATGTTTTGTAGCTTGAACGTGATGCTGGTCGTTTACTAGATTGCAGAGTGAGGCTGAATTTCTGCCCTTTAGGTGCTTGTGCATTGGCTGGCACTGGACTTCCAATTGATCGGTTTATGACATCTGCTGCTTTAGACTTTACTGCTCCTATGAAGAACAGGTACGTCCCTTGGTATAATGCTTTGGTTGGGATCGGAGTTGACATGTGCTTGTGTGCTGTAGTATGGAGCTTCATGTTCCGTCGTTGTTTCATTGGTAATCTGCAAAAGATGTTGTAAACTGGCCAATTAGTTAACAAATTAGTCAATTACTTTACGGTATTCCTTATGCCATCTTTTCTTTCTTCCCTTCCAATGCATGTGAGACTTTGCAACATTTAGTTCTATGGTTCACTTACCATTCTAGTCAACAAATTGCATGGAACTCTGTCAAAGCAGCTGATATGCTGATATGCTATCTTTTCCTTTAATTTTAAGAATTACTTATGCTTGCCCTATTCTTTCATTAACGGCAGCAAAGATCAGTCATGTTTATCCACTATTGGCAAACACAATTGTTCAGTATATCTTATATTCATCATGCTTTAATGTGCAGTAATACAAGTGCATTAAGTATACCCAATGATCTCAGTTTGATGAGCGTAGTGATTGTGCTTTGTGGTCCAATCTGTATTCCATGCTTCTTTATGTGTTCATTAAATAATTTATTAATTTATTTTCTTCATATAGTATTGATGCCGTTTCAGACCGAGATTTTGTCATGGAATTTCTTTCTGCAAATGCCATTACGGCCATTCATCTCTCCCGGCTTGGTGAAGAATGGGTATTGTGGGCTTCAGAGGAGTTTGGATTTCTCACACCAAGTGACAAGGTTTCAACAGGAAGTAGTATCATGCCTCAGAAGAAAAATCCAGATCCAATGGAACTTGTTCGTGGAAAGTCGGCTAGAATAGTAGGAGACCTGGTTACCCTTCTCACATTGTGCAAAGGACTTCCCCTTGCTTATAATCGTGATTTGCAGGTATAATCTTTTCTTTTTTACTTCAAAAAGGAAAACCTAGTGTGTCTCTTTAGTGGTTTCAAAGGACATCAGTTCTTTCATGTACAGTCAGCAAGGAAAGACGGGTTTAGTCGGGTTTGTTTCACCCTTTAAGTTATTGAACCTGAAATGTAGGTCTTAGCCACACATTGCATGCACGTTACTTTGCTGACACACAAACACAATGCTGCATACAAGAACCTGTTCTGCTAGCATATATATTGTATAAAAATTCATTTTGTATTTTAACTAATCCTGCAACATTTTGAGTATGACTATAGAAGGTTCTTTCTTTGCCCCTTGACACAGGAAGATAAAGAACCTGTCTTTGACAGCGTGAAGACAATATTGGGGATGCTTGAAGTGTCTGCAGAGTTTGCGCAGAACATTACTTTTAATAGGGAGAGAATACAAAAGAGTTTACCTGCTGGTCATCTTGATGCCACAACACTTGCTGATTATCTCGTGAAGAAGGCAAGTTCTATGGTCAACCTTCTTTTTTTACCAATTAGACGAGCTTAAAACTTCTTTAATTTGAATCACCATTCATGATAAAAAATGCTGTTCTATAACTGGCAGCTTTGCTTTGGAACTATTGAAATTATTTAGATCATAACGACCCATTTTATTTAGCAGTTTTGGCATCACATGTAGTTCATAACATTTGTTGGTCCTGATCAAATTTCAATAAACTTCCATCCAAAATAACATAGTGTGTACATATGGTCTGTAGTTTGTGCCAAAAATATATTACCCATCGACTGATCTTAACGATGGTAAGTCCAAATTTGTCCATAATTGCTACTGAGGTTTCTTTTCTTGTTTTGTACAGGCAATACCTTTCAGAACTTCTCATGACATAGTTGGAAGGGCAGTGGCAGTGTGCGTCTCAAATAGTTGCCAACTTCAGGACTTGAGTCTCGATGAGCTCAGAAGTATTCATCCAGTGTTTGACAAGGATGTGTATGAGTTTCTTGGAGTAGAGAATTCAGTTAAGAAATTCTCCTCCTACGGTTCCACAGGGTCAGCCTGCGTTGCCAGTCAACTTGGCGACTGGGTTACAAAACTTGAAATCACTAAAGGGGTTTGACAAAAATGGTGCTGGCTGAAAAAAATTTGGAAACCATCACGTGGTCTTGGGAGTAGGCGGATTCAGCGAGTACGAAATCTGTCGACAAGTGTATACTATTTTATGTAGTATGTTAAGATCCCACCAAGGATCAGATTGCTGTTGTAGGAGGAAGTGCTTCTGTTACGATGAATACTTTGGTCCCGTGTTTTGGAAACTTTTTCCATTTGCCTTTATGAATAACAAATTTGTCACGACTTGCTTAACATCCTAAATATCAGATTTGCAAATGTGTGAGATCCAATTGTTGAGGCATTGAAATGTGAATTGGTGTTTTTTTTAAAAGGCTTATTTGTTTAAATACCCTGTGGTTTTCAAATAGTCTTAGTTTGCTCCCTATCTCCTGATGTTTGACTCAATCCCTTCCTGAACTTCCATTACGGGACCAAAGTTGTCGCATTACGTTAGTTTTAATATAAAAATCGTTAAATTAGTTGAAATGACATGGGTATTTTGGTAAATTTAACTATTAAAAAATAAAAAATTCAAATTAAATATAAAAAATGCTTGAAATTATTTAAAATATGTCAAAAATAAAGATAAAAATAACTCCCTTTTTTTTTTCTCCCTAATTGTTGGCCCCCACCACATTCTCCTTCATCTCAACCAGCCCCACCGATTTAACGATTTTTATATGAAAACTAACGGAATGTGGCAATCTTGGTCACATAATGGAAGTTTAGGGGGGAAATTGAGTCATTTGAAACTTTAGGGAGAGCAAACTGAGACTATTTGGAAACTACAGAAGGCATTTCAACAAATAAGGATTTTTTTAAAAAGTAATAGTATCTGACATTTATCAACTATATCAATCTATGCATTCATCCATACATAGAAGCCTAGTTATAGATCCAAAAAGTTCATCAAATTAAAGACAACGATTCTTCTCTTTCACCTCAATCAATGCCTTACACTAGCCGAGCAGGATCATCAATCAACTAACGAAAAATTCATAGCGCTACTGACCTCTCTTTCTTTTTTTTTCTTTTTCTATGTCAACTTTTTGATATTTAATCATTAAGTATTGGCCCTTGGTAACTTCATGGATCTATCTGCCTACATTTCATCCTCGGCTTCGTTTAGGCCTTCATTATTTACTGGCAGTGAGGAAGTTGGGTCCACAGTAACAAGCCGGATTGCCGGTTTTCTCCCCTTTTTTCTTTGGCCAGGTTTTGCACCGTTTGCATTCACCTGCAGGATTTAAAAATTTTCAATTAGGGACCAAGGAGAAATGTAATGAAATGCTCAAAGGGATAGACGCCAGCAAGTAGAGA